TACAACTCAATATTTTTAGCCAGAAATAAATATTGCCTAAGCCTTGAGATTTCGCTAAGATGTCCTGACACGTGTTGCTATCTAAAGAACCAAATTCTTCAGGCTCGCGTAATATCTTTCTGGATAAAATTATTGGAATCAAATTGAACTATTTAACAAGAATCACCATACTAAAGCATAAATTTTTATCTCAATAAATATATATAATTATAAATTAAATATTTTACAAATAATTGTAAAGTATTTAATGAAATAAAGAAATCATCATTTTGTAATTATAAATATATACGAGCACAGAATGAGGGGTGGAATCATAATTCTATCCTTTATTTGATGATGGGTGAATCGGACTTCATAGGACTGGATTATTTAATGAGGCACACACAGTCTAGGCTGGGGGGGGGCGGCCCGACATGGCCCATATTTAATATTTAAAAGAATTCCTAAGCCCCGGCCCAAGCTTATTCACAAATTTTACCCAAGCCCGTCCCGGGGCACCTATATATATTATTGAGCTTGTTAGATATATTTTTTTAGTATTTAAATATGGGTAGATAATATTTCGGGAACAATTGACAGGCTAAGGATCAAAAAATAATATTTCGATTACTTGCAACTTTTATACGGGCGACCAAACTAATTATGCAGTTTGAATGTACTAATTATTCATAAAAAAAAATGGCGAAAATAAGATGTATCCCTACGCCAGTTTTTGTATTGTGTGCCCGCCATTTCTTTGTTTGTAACGTTGAATGACTTTGTTTATTTCAATTTCTGCTATTAAACTGATTAAAGTATTTAATCAATGGCCAAAATTTAACCTCAAACATTTTTTAGCGTATAACTATTTTTATCATATGTTAACCAAAGTTTTCGGAAATAACTACTTAATGATTCACCTTCTATATTTTATAGTAACAAATAAAATTTATACATCACGATATTCAATTGGATATCTGTTAATATTTAAACATCGTGATATTCAATTGGTTATCTGTAAAATGGATAATGTAACCCTTAAAGTTTTAATTTAATTTAATTTAATATTTGACAGTTGTATTTGGATTACTATAAACAGTATTTCTATTTCTATTTATTCTTATTCTATATTTTCTCTCTTTTCTCTCTACTAAATCAAATTATCTATTAAAACGGTATTAAGTTAGTTCCACTCACTTATTTAATTTCACCTGGGTACAAGGTTTGTTGGTATCCTTGAGAAAGTAAATCGGCATAATTATATGAAAGGTATGCCTTCATATAATTCACGTTCGCTCTTTTAGGCAGGTACATGACCAACGTGCTAGATAAGATAAGATAAGATTTGTAACTATATAATGGCGAAAACCGGATGTTATGTACTACGTTTTTTTTGGTTTTGGTGGGCCGCCATTTGTTTTTTATTTATTTATTTTTTTAAATAACTTATTTAATTTAATTGAGGCTACAAAACTGATTGAAGCACTAATCTCTACTAACAAAGCATTAAAGAATGATATAAGCTATCATTGTTTATGCTTCCAATATTCGACCAATTTCATGCCTAAATCATGGCGTAATAGCATTTATTAAGCTTATTTTTAAGGCAGTTAACCAAATTAACAACGGATTTACATATTAAGCACCTAATATTGGCGAGAACATATAGTTGCTAGTTTTTATTTTGGCATATCATCAATATTTGTTCATTTTGTTTTTTTCACAAATAACTTTTTATTTTTAATTTTTGGCCGCAGAAGTGATTGAAGCACTAACCTCTACCTAATGAAGCACTAAAATGATACATGTTTCATCGTTAGCGCTTTTCTTGCGATATCAATCGGTAATATCGTAAATCCTCATCCAGTATCTATTAGCATTACCGTTGGCACATCATTTAGGTATCCCGTGACTTTATAAATATCATTGGCCATGTTATCATTATCATCATCCATATTGTTTATATCCAAATTAAATGAATTATATTCCTTTTTCTCTATTTTATCATTATTGTCTTCTTTTATTTCTTCCACATTAACGGTATTAATTTTGTTCGAGTATCTAGGTTGGTTTGGTTACTATCATTGTTTTGATATCTATTGTTATGTGATTGGTTGTAATTTTGATTATTGTTGTATCTTGGTATAAATCTTGATTCGTTGTTTGTACTGTCTATTATATCTGTAATTATTATCATTAAAGTGTAAAACAAGGATGTACTCTATAGCCTCTCCTGTTTAATATCATAATAAATAAAGTCATAAAAGAGAACCGGGTTCGGCTGATCTAGCAGATATAGGGTCAAATAAGACAATACGTTTGAAAATAGAATAATATCATACGGTAAAATTCAAAAAAGAAAAAACCAAAGAGACTTGAGTCATAGAGTTGGACTAATGATAAACTTCAACTAAACAGTTATTCCTACTTCCCCAAACGCGCCACCACTCAAAATATTACTGTTGGAGATAATGCAGTTAAAATAGTAGACAAACAAAACAAAGTACTTATTGGCCTCACTGGATAATAAGACAGTGCAAAGAAGAAATGAAAAGCGAGAGGTACTTTTTATACATATATGAAAGTATGCAAAAGACATCTCGATATTTACTAGACTTCGGATCTTCAACTCGACAATAATATTATATTACTATATGGGGAGGACATATGGGAAATAAACCAAACGGAAAATATACGACTTCAATCTTTTATAAATAACTGCCTTCGAATACGGTATCTTCTACCTAAGAATCATCTCAAACGCAAATCTTTGGAAAACGTCAAATCATACGCCAATAAGCATATTAAAAAAAATGGCTTTACACATGCAAAAGGAAACAGTGCACGTAATGCAAATCACTATGCTATGGTACTACAAAATTATAAAAGATGTGATGGAATTAAATATCAATATGAAACAATTTATTAAACTAAACAACTGTAAGAAATCTATCAAAAAACTATTTCGCATCAAAGAGAGATATTTCAAATGAAAGCTCATCCGAAATTTTCGCTCAACCAAAGAACAAAAAACATTATTATCAAATATATCTCTAGGGAGATTTTACTTACTAAGACAAATTACTATAAAAATTTAGAATTCAAAAGATGCGACATATTTATATTCTTGATTTTCATGGTAATCAATTTCTTAGGTAATCAATTAATTCTTCAATATATAAAGTAATTAAATAACAGACATCTTCCCAAAGCCGATTTGTAATCAACTAGCACTTACACAGAGATCTTGAACTTAAAATCATCCACCCCCCATATGGGATATAAGCTCTCTTATTGCCCCGTTCTTTTTTATTAAATCTATAGCCGATTAAGCAACATTTTTCGAAATGTTTTTCGCGTACAAGTACGCGTTTAGGCTCACATTATATTTTTTAATTTACACCCAAATTAAATTAGGTCCAATTAACCTGGCGTATCTTTGTTGAACTTCCAACGCTAGAGGGTAGAGGTGCAACACGTTCGTGTACTGTCATGGTGGAATAAATAAATTACATATGTTTGCGAATATTCTAATTATTATTATTATTGTATACAAGTAATGATTGTAAAAAATTTATATTAGGTGCAACAAATATAATATATAATATCTACATTTATTTTAGGTGCAATTCTTAAAATGTCCCTTCACACCAAGAATGAATACTAATGATATAATAAATATAGCCGCAATCTGAAGATTAATAAACTAAGTGAGTATTTTGTCGTGTGATAGATGAATGTCGTTGGCTATTGCAATATTAAAAATTATTGTTTTTTTTGAAACATGGTTAGATATTATTTGATAATTCCTTATTTTTTAAATTGGAAACATGTTTTTCCCCGTTGAATATATTTTTTTACATCGTGGACTCCTTCATGGCTTGTCGTTTTGCATTTATACAAATTGTATTTAAGCGACATTCTTTATTCAAGAATAAATGGAATTCAAGTTGTTTTGATAGTGCGACTTACATTTTATTTTTTGAATTTCAAACTGTATGAAACTAAATTGGAAAAGGATAAGAAATATCATAAGAAAACTCAATTTAATTAATCAAAAATTTTAAAATTGATTACTAAAAAATTTAAAAATAACTTATTTCACATTTACATAAGAATCCATTTTATCGTCAGAATCGGAAGAAGAAATTATCATAGGATTTATCATAACACTATAAAGAAGGAAGAGGATTGATTGGAAGATGATTTAGGAATTAAGGAAGAAAAAAATATTTTTGATGTGCCATTAATGCAGGAGAAATCTATTTCGGGGGAAGCATCTTGATACATAGATGCATCCAGTACCAGTAAATTATAATTCGAGGAAATAAAGTTGGATTATTTATTAAAAGGTTTTATAAAATAAACCCACGTGATCGATCAGACTGACCAAATAAAATATGCACTATATTATATAAAATTTTAAAAAAATTTGATTCGATTGAATCTCACTATTATTAGACCAAGTCCCTCCATTCTGCAAAAATCTAACACTATTTCGCGTATCTTATATAAAAGGATAAGAAGTTATATATTTTTTATCCTATATAATTCACTAATATGAGAACCTAAATTTATATCTGAACCTCATGCAGAATAAAAGGTTCAGATTAGTGAAACTTAACATAAATAGTTTAAAATTAAAGAAAGCTAACTGAAAAAAAAAACACAATTCAGAATATCTATTTATTTTTCTTCTACAAGTAATACACAATTTAAATCTTTAATGCACTATTAAATCCTAATTTTTTTTAAAAAAATAATCTAATATTTAATATTGACTTGACAGGGTCTTATTATAACAGTTATATATTTTGAAAATTTATTTATTATATACAGCCGCGAATATTATTCTTTATAAAATAGATTTCTACGTAATAAAATGGTTTGCTAATCGTGTAATCTCATAAACTACATACGTTCATATATATATATATACATACAACAAAAAATAAATGCTATAAGATAAGGTTATAAAAAAAACTACAATTCTTATTATTTTATATTAAAAAGGAGTCACATTTCACATGTACAATATTTGGGAAATGTTACAAAGGTCAGAACTGGTTACGACTATTCGATCAGTTAAGGGGTCCCATTTTATCTCGATCCGAGAAGAGTTTTCGTCGTTCAGAGCGAGTACGTAAAGGTAGGTTCGATACACGCCAATCTCGGGCACGTGCTCCTTGAGTTGATCTACCCGTTTCTCGTATTTGAAAACTGTCGCGGCATCGCGCTCTACGGTTATGGTGGCCAAACCGGAAAAAGCAGAGTCCATCGAAAATCCGACCACATATATTTGCGGGCAAAAATTATCAAGGGGCTCGATTTGGAAATTGGATTCCTTCACGGCGTAATAACAGCTCGGGTAAACTTTTATAGGGTTCGCGTCGAGGGAAGACGAAAACGACATTTTCCTAATAATGATCTCGATCAACTCCGAGTCCTCTAACAAATGACGCTCGCGGACTAATTCGATAATGTCCAGGGTGCTGAAACGCGCGATATAGTAGGGGAGAGGGGTAAACCAGTTTTTCGATAATACCGAAACCATGTTCGGGGAAGTTTCGGGGATTTGGTTATTGTCGCATTGGTTTTTCGCCCATTTTAGGAGGAATTCGAAGATTATTTGTTTCGGTACGCATTCCTTGTCGTCTAACAGCGCGATATATTTTTGGATCAAATGGACGGACGAGTTAAGGAAGTAATTCGAATCGAATACCAGCCTACAACATGATGTAAGGCGCTGTAAAAATAGGAATCGAGAAAAATGAATAAACTGAGAAGGCGGAGTATTATCTGGGTTGGGCATGAAATTGGCAATTATTTTTTTTTAGAAAATCATCTTTAATCTAGGGCTGGGTTTTAAAAAATTCTACCCTTATGTGCTTTACAGATGTTTTAGAAGAAAATATTTTAATTGTCATATTATTATATTAAAATTATTTATCTTTTTAAAATTAATTTTGTTTAATATTTATCAAATTTATAAATAGTCGTCGCCTGATTTTATAATCACGTGTAAAACTCGTGATCTCTTTGTCTCAAAAAAGTATAAAAGGGAATAGATTTTATAAATATTATGACTTTTTGTTTTTTTTTAAATATATTTGGTCAATAAAATTTGGAGTTGAAAATTTATTAATTTTAGTTTCAGAATTTGTTGGTTAATTATGTGAGTTATAAAATGGCGTTGTACTACTGGTAGAGTTTTTTTACAGTATATAATTTTCATTGGTAGAGTTTTTTACAGTATATAATTTTCACAATAACTGTTATAGTTTTTTTTATTGCATATAATTATCATATAAATAATATATGAATGTTACATAAATGAAGTTCTGATGCATTTTAGGGCATAGTCATAATATTAAGGATTATATAAATAGGTTAATTGGCCCATGGCTAATCCGAAAGTAATCATTATTTTAATTGTTCTTTTAATGAGATTATACTTTAAATGAGGATCTTATTTATCTCACATTTTTTTATAGAACGAAATTAAGTTGATGGCATTAGTGAAACTAATAATTTCTTGGAACGCCTACAACCAAATTTTTCAAAAATAACAATAGTTTAACAACAATTTGGTCACAAATTGATAATAATTTTCAAACTTAATTTAACACAAACTTATTTATGTCAACGTAATTATATATAATATTATGCATAATATGTTTCAAAACTAAGTACATTCTTTCACTAAAAAAAGAATTTTGTAAACTCGAACAGCTGTTAAACCGATGAAATCAATGATGCATATATAAACTGCTAGATTGACAGTTCATTCATTAAACACATTTAAAAATTATCTATACATAGGAGAGTCAGCTGTAACGTCGTGGTTTGCGCGCCGATGAAATGGCATTGATGTGCATTCATATAATTATAAATATGACAATTAGTCAACGCGCAAACCACAAAATGGCGTTACAGCTGACTCATAGGTATGTACACTTTCAATGAGCCGCCAATCCAGCAGTATACATATTACGTCATACATAGGGCGAAACTGACATTATTGCTTACCAAAAATAAATCCGGTTTTGGATGTAGATTGACAAAAAAAACCGAATTAAAAAAAATTATAAACGGTTTTAATTGTTATCACGTGATTTCCTAAAAATATGGGGCCCATTTCTCCCCCCTAACTTTGTCAAGGAATGGTTACAATGCAATAATCATATTTATACATCTAAGCAGTTATCAATATCTATTTCCGGATAAATTTCTGACACCAAATACAGCTCGAGAGCCCTTTCAGGATTATATGTTTTACTGTTCATGTCTCGAATGCATTTATCGTTCAATTCGTTCAGCATGTACATTTTAGCCCCATACAAAATTTCTATGAGTAAGTAAGTATCCATATCGGTAAAATCGATTTCGCCTGTATATATGTTCCTTGTGAGATATAATTTTTTTTTAAAAAAAAATATTTAATATAAAGTTAACATCCGTGGGGCGTATTGGAGGCGGAGGGATAAGGAGAAAAGTCAAGGTAACGTTCCATTGGTTATCATTTTCATTAAATATAATTAGGGCGGTACCGATACAACATTTTGGAGGCCGGGTTGATCAGATCCGATATTAAAAAGATATCGGTCGATTAGAGATCCGATATCATATCTGATTGAGTTCTTTCCAGCCCCGGCCTTAAACTAGCCTGCAGGTCTCTGGTATATATATATTTTTTTATTAATAAATGATTTATTTATATAATAACATTGTAAATTTATTTACTTATTTATTATATATAGTAGTTTAAACAAATAAATTAAGAAATCTATTTTATACAAATATTAAAAATTTAATAATTAAAAGTAATATATCCAAAATTTCTTCTCAGAAATACCAAAATTTCTAGTTTATTTATGATCAGCTGCGTCTATGAACAAGTGTCAATATCATCAGCTTCACTAAAAAAAACAGATTCTAGAGATATACTCAAGTTTAGAAAGATGGGATATTTATGGCAATTCCCTTCCCAATATTTTAAATATCTACTAGGGTATTATCATCTATTAGCTTTAAAATCTTGATTTCCTTTAGAATGATTTTTCAATTTTCAAGGGGAATACGAGCAATTTTCGATGGTATCGTTGTTTGCTTTAAACAGGATCAGGATAAGATCCCAACAAACTAAATATGCCAGCTAAATTGGTTGATGAATGATATTGATCAAATTTCTTCCACGTGCATATTTTGATTTTATATACAATATAAATCAGAGACCTGCAGACCCAGCCATATTTTAAAAAAATCCGTGCCGGGTCCGAAACTATAAAAACCCGGGCCGAGCGGAAAAAAATTTTTAAAAAAATAAAACCCGGGCTGGGTTGTGCAAATGGTACCTCTGCAGGTCTCTGTTATAAATATATAAAAACGATACTTTAAATAAATTCAATTTTTTTGTAACGTAGACTTGATTAATTAATTTCCGCAGAATGAGTTGCTGTTAATGCATTCTTAGAAGTCGTTTTTGTCTTTATAAAGCATTGATTGAATTGAAAAAAAAAAGAAGAGAGGATTGTTTCTAAGCCGGGATCCAAGATTGTTGCTATAAGTCCGACCAGGCCCGAACCCGATTTGTTTTAAAAAAAAATTAGGACCGAAAATACTTTTGCAGATCTCTGATATACATCGCATCCATCATAGTTTGGGACACCTCAATGATGCCCACCATTTTCCCCTTTTAAGTAATTCTGCGAACATAATAACCCATTTTATCGGTCGTATCGGCCAATTTAAATAATATCGGCTGATAACTGATATTTTAAAGAGAATCAAAAATATCGGTGCATCCTTAATTATAATCCGAGATCTGCGGAGGGACCATTTGCACGGCCCGGTCCGTCACAGGCAAAGTTATACTTATTAAAACCATGAGTGCTACTATTATTTCAGTTAAGATATATCAAATAGCTTTTATTTGATACCCATATCAACATTTTGTTGTGTATTTTTTACCCCCCTTCCCATTCCCAATCTAAACCCGCCTATTTATTTTCGGGTCCGACCCGGATATATTTTTTTTAAAAAAAATTTAAAAAAGGCCCGGACCATGGACCTCTGATTCATATAAGTAAAATTTTACCACAAGATCTTTTCGAAGGCTTCCTTGCCTATATGTGTTATGGGTATGCAATCGTCCTTCAACTCCATACTACCATAAAACATGGTATAAAACATTTCGCTTTGGAAAGACAGAATGAATTTATGAGCATTTATCACGCTTCCGTCCACCTGTAGAAGGAAAAAAAAGTATTAAAATATACGTGTCGGTTTCAATGACATGTAATAATACCTAGACTGACGATGCAATCATTCATAATGCATTAGAAAGCGTCGTTGAATGCAAATCAGCTGGACCCGCCATTTTGCTAATCCAAACAGTAATTATTCTCATATTAAAAAAAACTAGTATTAAATTGATAGCTCGCTTCCTTATTATCTCGATGATTCAGGCAATTCTTTAATAAAGTTTGCCTCAGACATAGGACCAAAATGGCGTCCCCAGCTGTTTTTCATTGATGTACACTTTTAATGAATGCATTCAGTCTAGGTAATATTATATGTCATTAGTTGGTTTATTAGATTTTATTAACCTCGAATCTGACGTCGGACATGTACGAACTTTTGTACAAACTTTCGCCTAATTTACTCTGACCATTTATTATCTTGAAATTCTCCATCGTTTAACCCTAAGTTAAATAAATATATATTTTTTTTGAAATTTAAATATTTATGATGGTGGGTTGTAAGATATGTTTTGTTACCGAAAAGTGTAAAATAAAGTCGGGCTAGCGGCTACGCCAACTGTACTATGCGATAGTCGAGTTAAAATGCGAATTGGATAACGAATAATTCGTATTAGATATAATGGTGAATAGTCGTTGAATGAATGGAAGAGCTGCACTGCAGATATCAAAAATTTGGCAATAGCTCAATTCAAGGAATGTTTAAATGAAGGTGGACAAAATATTTTTAAAATTAAACTTATTATCTAAACTGGGAGGGTTAATTAAAGATTTGAGAGATATCGGTTAAAATATATTTAGTAATGGTTTTTTTAAATATTTTTGATCTGTCAAATGTGATAGGTCATATGATTATAAATAAATAAATCAGCTGTGCTAAAGGCTCCTTGAGTTGGACCCCAATCAAAAATTTGAGACCCGATGGATTAAAAAAAAATAATTTTCAAACCCGGGCCGGATTTTTATTTTTAATCATCTTTCGGTTCAAAATGATTTAAAATTTCGTCATTTAACCTACCCCCCCCCTTCATATGATTTTCTATTCCAACTAGTGTTGTTAAACGTCTCAATATGAGCAGATTTTTAAAAAAAACAGCCAATCCAATATTTTTTTTATTCATAGATGGCACAAAAGCTTGGACATTTGGGGGTCTAATAGCGAAATCTTGAGGCATAAGCTAAAATTTTTGAATATTGTGCTAACATTTTTTTAAAATACGGCTCAAATCGTGCGACGTAACAACACTAATTTTAACAATTTTTCAGCTGATTTACAAATATAATTTTTTAAAAAAAATATTATAAATCGGTTCCATCCGAAAAAAATGGCAGCGAATTTTTAAATTCTTACCATTTTTTTTACTGTTGTTTTTCCCAATATCAAACTGCAATAATTTTGGAAAAGTAGCAAGTTACAATTATATATCAAAAGTACTTTTAAAATGCAGGTCTAGTTACTTCATAAATTAAGGTTAAGACATTTGGACGTCTAATAACGAAATCGCGAGTGCTAAGCAAATGTGCTAACACTTTTTTAAAGATCGGCTCAAATGGTGCTGCGTAACAACACCAATTTCAACATTTTCCAGCTGATTAACAGATATAAATTTTTTTTTTAAATATTTTTAAATCGGTCTTACCCGGTTTTCTAATTTTAGCCGAATTTTTAAATTCTTACTATATTTTTTTTCTTAACTGTTTGTTCTTCCAATAATTTAAAACCATGGCAATGTTTTTTTTGAAAAAAGTAACAAGTTACAGTTACATTTCAAGAGTAACCAGTTACAATCCAGGTCTATTTACTTTATAAATTATTTATATAACACATCATTTTCATTTATAAATATAATTTTGTGATTTTGAAATTTTAAACAAAGAAATTTAACTATCAAAATACAATTAAAATAAATAGATAATTGCACAGGAAAAAAAAATATAGTACAATGTAACATTTTTTTGCACTCAAAAATGTATAAATAATATAATATTTATTTTTCGTAAAAATTTATCAAAATGTATCGAAAAAAATAGATATAACTTTTTATTTAGGTCAGTTCTTTGTAAAAAATTAATAATGTATAAATAAATTGCTTTAATTTTAAATGATTAATTTAATGCCCATTATTATATTCTTGCTGTAACTTGTTCAAACTATATGAACAAAATCTTCATGCTTCCTTAATAAATTTCTGGGTAAAAGTATTAAGCTTAGCCATTTTTAAAAATAGACTCAAATTGAGCCATTTAAAAATATTACCAAACCAATAGCTATGCAAAATCGCTCCATTTGCGCCGATTTTTAACAACAGCTAGCTCAGTATTTTATCCATAAAAATATTACGCAAGCCTGGTCACTGGGCCTACAGGTATTTAATTATTTTATTGATACAGGATATATAACATATGATCTACTTTATCAACATAGCAGTGATTGCAAAATAAAGAAATATAAATCAAAATTGCAACATAAAAAAAGATAATTTAAAACATATTGTAAAAGACAAGTAATACATTATATTGATTCTGTTAAAACTGAGATCATCAGGCAGATTAATTGCAATTGTGGTAAATAAATTATATTTCATAATTGTGACTAAATAAACCAATATTTGAAATTATTAATATTAAAATTGCATAAAAGAGTTCAATTATATTACCCCCCACCCCCAAGAATTATATTGATATGGTTGTGTTATGTCCATCTCTTGATAAATTTATCGACAATGAAAATTACCCCTGAAATGGTAGAAACTGCTATATATATATATATATAATAATACTCTAAGCAAGCCAACATAAGTCCTTAGTTAAAATTCTCTTATTTAAACCATTGAAATAATTTTTAAATATTTATAAACTTATTTATCAACATTGATTTCACATAGCATTATTCATTATCTTTATGTTTCAATTTGAAAGAGATATCAGTTTCAATTATTTAAAATCAAAATATAAGATATATTGCAGGGCAACCTTAATTGTTTCATTATGTTCCAGTTTAAAACAATTTTTGAATAAGTCATTTAAACCTAAAATTTTAATCTTTCATCAAGATTATTCATAAAAACTTGTTCATAATATTTATATCTGAAACAGGAGAATTATATGTGACATTAATCATTTTTAAATTTGCCAAAGTTAAAATTATATAATTTTAAAGAATAAGATTAAAAATATTTAATAATAGTACAATCAATGCAATGCTCCCTATTATTTAATAAAATTGCTAAGTCTTCTGTTATAGATGGAAGAAGTAATATCCATATATCACATTTTCAAAAAAAATTTTTTATATCTCATTTATACAAATAAAATTTTTTACTATTATAAAAAATTATCTACACTTTTTTTCTGTGCCTTGAAAGGGTTAAAAAGAATTTTCCTTAATTTGAATAAGATAATTTAACAATATAAAATTTTAATCTTAAAAGAAAAAACAAAATATAAGGAAAGAATATTACACACTATATGATCTCTATTTAGTTAATAATATTTTAAAATATTCGATAATATTATACGTACTTTAAAATTTGCGGGTGTCACAAAAAAATTTCTCTAACCACAAAATTAACGTGACACGTGTCGTCTGTTTGGTGAGATTGGACACATCTTGGATCATATGACATATGATAGAAATTTGTTATAAAAATTTAAATCAGAAAGAGCTGCCAAAATATTTTAAGTGAGAATAATATTTCTTTCAAATTCAAAAATATTTATAATATACAGTAACAAAAACATATACAATGTTTTGATGATTTATAAATTATGACGATTAAATTAGAACGCATCCATATAAAAATATTTTGTTTGCAAGAATAATTAAAATAAATATAGGAGTAATTTAAGAATTTTAAATAAATTTTCATGAATAGATTAAATCTTAAGCCTCTCAATATAAAAATTTATTGTCTTCAATCTTAAAGGTAGAATTAATTCTTTTTATTTTTCAAATATAAATTAAATGTTTAGCTTTTAGATATATTCTAAATATAACAATTTTTGTGCATATTATAAATAAGTATATAGTATTTAATAAAACCTTAGTTATTTTGTTTAATTTTCTTAAGGGGCGATTAAAATGATTTTTATATTATTCATAATATTTATTATAATTAAAGAAAAAAAATACTTATGAATTTGATATTTTCGGTGTTGTGTTAATTGGATCTATTTCTATTTAACATTTAGCATCTACCCAGTTATGGAAAAAATTTAAAACATTATTACTGTTATTAAGATATTCTATTCCCCTTTATAATCTTGATTTCTTGTTATATATTTTTTCAATTAGTTTTTTTATTATTTTTTAATATGTTTTTTCATTCCTTGTTTGTAATATTCTATTTTTTTTAAATTAGTTTTATTTTCTAATATGGCTTTTATAATTCTGTGTTCATAATCATATTTACTTATTTTATCATCTTCACATATACATTTTTTACAAAATCATTGCTTATATAAAAACTAGGTAAAAGAATTGAATATATTATATTAAATCATATATAAAAATTTTTCTTGCTTAAAGATTTCCTCTAATAAAGTTTACTAATCTTTATTGTTAAATTGTAAAAATTTATTTATATTTTCATATTTTAGGCAATTTAATAAAATGAAAACTATATTTTTTTTTAAGACACTATAACTTTGTCAATGATATTCAATGATGATATTAGGCTTCAAAAAAATATGTTTATTAATAATAAATAAAAAATAGAAATAATATGCACAAGATAAGAGATTGATATTCATAGCAAAAATCATTAAAATATAATATCAATATTTAAAAGTATACAGACACAAAATATATCGAATAATATTTGATAAGATATAATATTATTTAAAAATATATAGTCGAGATAAATATAATAATAATAAAATTAAATAAATTCATCAATTCAGGCACATTATGCATTGATATTAGATTTTTCATTTTGATTTGATTATCACCATAATGATGAAACCGAATTTGTAAATAACGTTCAATTATTAATGTTATAAGAATTTGATAATGGATAAATAGTGCTTCTTGATTAAGCCAGTGACATATATTAATACGACTTACAATTCATTCATTAAAATGCATTTTAAGCATGTATCATTTGAAATCAGACGCCATTAACACCATACCCATGAGTTCATTATTTTTATAATCATTTTAATTTACTACTGACACAATTTTATTAATTAAACATTATATTTTATTAATATTTTCTTAATTTATAAAATTTATAGCAATATCAACAATTTTTATTGAAGTTTATTAGGTATCTTATTTACTTTATGCAATCATATATATCTAAATTGAAGATTCCATATAAGAATATCAACTGTCACAATTTTGTTGGTTCCATATAAATTACATTTAGATTTATAAAAACTTAAGAAATTAATAGTTTTATTTACTTATGAACTTGTGCCTGGCCCAATTTATATCT